GTACCTTAGTTTTGGAGAACACGGGAGGAATATCAGGATTTGCTTCAATGAGAACCTTAATCCTTCCAGGGGTTGCTATAACAACATGTGGCCTCTTCATCAGCGTCTGGGCCTGGTTAAGCATGTCCATCCCACCCACTACAACCGCACACCGCAAATTCAAGCACGACCCGAGAGCACGAAACTGCTCGGACAGCTGGTATGCGAGCTCACGGGTTGGAGTCACCACCAAAGCAAAAATCCCATAAGGATCTTCCGCTATTTTGTTCAGTATAGGCAGTGCAAAGGCCGCCGTTTTACCACTACCAGTCTGTGCTAACCCTAAGACGTCTTCGCCGGCAAGGATTCGGGGAATGCAATGGCATTGGACCGGAGTGGGCTTTTTCATGCCAAGCTCTTTGCAGGTATTGACGGCCCATTCGGCGAGGCCAATGTCGGAGAATGAGAGATGGTTTGGGGTAGAGCTAGGGTTTGTTTCTTTTTGGAGATAAGGGCGTTGGCTAGGGTTTTGGGTAGTGGTGTTATTACGTTTGGGGGAATCAGGATGTTGTTTCTTTGGGGCGATTTTCCGGGAAAATAAAGGAAAATTGTCATCCACTTCGACTTCTTCATTCATACTGTAGCAAAGATTGGGATTGGATTGGGATTGGGATTTGGAAGAAGAATTGAGTGGGGTTGGTTAATAGATAGCTTCACTGGAAACCGAGGAATGTTTTTCTTTGAGTTGGTTATTGTTGCTTTAACCCTAGTCCCATCCCACTCGGAGGAGGACGTCTGAATAATTAATTGTTTCCTCAAACATTCTATTTCTAGGAATAAAAACTCTTTATTTCATCACTGTTGTCAATTCATAATAGTCTCTCTATTAGAAATTCATTTGTTTCCCCAATTCACAAATTTCTGCCCTTTCATTGCTTCATTATTAGAAAATCAGCAGGTTGGTTCTGTGGATCTGGTGACTGAATCTATGGTTTACTCACTTGTCTAATCTATCAAAGGCTATTAGAGAAGCCTGACCTTTTTCTTCGACTATGGTGGTTAGGACACTGCTTAGGTTTTTTTTTTTTTTCCTGTCGTCACAATGACTTGAAACATGATGCTTTACGAAATTTTCGTGCTCAGATAAATCTTTCATCATCAGTTTTTGCTTCCCTATATATGATTTCCAGGGTTTTTTTTTTTTTTTTGATTAGTAGTTACAACGGAGGGGAAGAGAGACATTGAAATTCAAACCCACAAACAACTATGAGGTGATGGACATGAGGCAAACCTCTGAGTCCTCTACATGATTTGAGGTTGCACTAGCATTGCCATTCTAATCTCAAAGCATGATCATGATGGATTTGAATAGTCTGTTAAGATCATTTGCACTCGCTGGTCCAAGCGTTTCAGGGCTTATAGCCTATTCCAATGAGGCAGGATATGGGTTCAAGGCCATCAACTATCCATGAAAGCATCCTCAATTCATGTGATCATGCTTCGTGAGTAGTTTTATTGTTGTATTAATTGCGAATTTTTTCAAAGACCTCTTTATCTCGTTTATTGACATAATTTTGAAGTAAAATTAGTGTGAAAGGAATGTGGAGCTATTGGTAGAATAGAGTGTTCCCTAATAAAAATCCCCCCCCCCCCCCCCAACTCACACACCAGCAAAAAAAATGAGTATTTTTTTTTAAATTCTCAATTTATACTTATCATGTGCAATGACTTTTCCATAAATAAGAAACACTTGTTTGTAACTTCTAAAGTTTAATTCAATTCCCTATATGAAACTAATTGATCCATTTATGTAACTTAATTGGCAGAATTGAACGGTGTCAACACGTTTAACAACAAGCTTGTGGATTCATGTCACTCAATGTCTCTGTCCTGTTTTCCTGTTGCTATGTTGTGGACGTTGTTGATGGGCCAAATCGATGTGGGTGAATTTTTTGTAGTCACTCAAATTTATAATGTAACTATGAGATTTTCGATATTTTAGTCGTAAACAAGTTTATTTATTATTTTTCTTTGTGATCACATTTGAAGTTTTTCTTATTGTTTCTAAAAAAAATCCAGCATTTCATGTGTTCATATAATACCCAAAAAAAAAAAAACAAGGAGAAGCTTATATGAATGATTTATTAAAGAAACAGTATTTAGACTCCTATATATCTTCATCTCAATGTATAATTATGATTGACAAGGTACCAATACAATTAAAAATAGAAAACCTCCATTTACTTTATCTAATTTGGTCCTTGTTTATAATTATTACTCACAAAATTCGTTATTGACAGAATTTTAAGTTCACAAGGTATAGATTTATCCTATAATTTTTTTGTAAATTTATTATGTGTTTAGTTCGCAAGGTTTCATGGTTCAGAAAGAAAAAGAATGTAGGAAGAGAAAAAAGAGTAAAGTTGGGTAATTTTGTCAATTGTTTTAAAAGGTTTAGAAGATAACAAGAGTCACGTTATGTTTACATAGCTATTAAGAGTCTAAATTCAATCTAGAATACAAAATAATTTTTTATGTTATAAAAATAGAAAAAGAGTGTTTAGGTTTTTGAAGAAAAAATATTTACCTGCTAAACCATATTTATCATCCATTACAGGTCATGATATCCTCCACCATCTTTAACATACAATTTTGCCATGCCTTCTCTAAAATATAAAAACAATTACAGGTGGACAAATTTTAGAACCTAAAATTTCTACAAAAATAAATGTAGGAATAGTGTAGAACAGATTTCTTGTTGGAGACTATGAGTTTTTTAGTATACAAGATTTTTTTTTTTTTTTTTTTTGAACAATAGCATATAAGATTAGGTTGGGCAAAAATATATATATATATATTTTTTTTGAGATCGGCCGGTCTTAAATTTTTAGTACTAAAATAAAAATGTGATAGTGAGATGATTATGCACAATATAAGCAAAAGCCTCCAAATGCATATCACAAAAAAATAAAAAAAAAATAGAACAAAAATATGGATTAAAAAGACTCACGTGCATGCCCGTGAGTTTCAACTAGTAATAATAAATATGCAAAAAAATTATAATAAACCCACCAAAATCTTATTTCATAGCAACAAAGACACCATCATATATCTAAATTCAAGCTTCAAAAGCATCAACAACATCCCATCAAATCACATATTCAATGTATAAAAAATCCATGCATGAAAATAATCACAAATCACAAAATCAGATCCAATGTATAAAAATAAAAAATCATAGATTCAATAAAAATATTAGAGAGGCAGAGGCAGAGTATGATTGCTCTTAATTACAGATTCAATGTATATAAATCAAAAATCTAATATAGCAAGAGAGAGAATCGAGAAAGATAACGAGAGAGAGAAGCAGAGTAGTACATGCTACTGTCAATGAGAGTTGTCGTTGGCTGCCAGAATGGAGATCTGAAGCTTGAAGCAGCTTCTTTTTCGAAGCAAGAGTCCCTGAAGCAATGAATCAAGAGCCCGTGAAGTAGAGTTCCTTCACCCTTGAGCTTTTATTGCTCGCTCGTAGTCGCAGCAGAGACTCAGAGAGAGAGAGAGAGAAGCAAAGGGAGCGTTTGAGAGTCTCAGAGCAGGGGGTTTGGGAACGATTTAGATTTTAGGGCAAAATGCCCAAAAAAGGTAAAATCCGAGAGAAAGAAAGAGAGGGAAACTCACATCGTCACTGGTTCTGTCCACAATCGTTGGACAGGAGTCGCTGCTGGTGCTGGAAAGTGAATTGGAGTCGATGCTACCTACGTGCTGGAAGCTAGACTAAAGTCATCGCTGCCTGCTAATGCTGGAGGCTGGACTGGAGCGTGGAATCGCTGGTGGAGGGTGCCTCTTCTAGTCTAGTCTGGCCTGGTCTGGTCTGGAATGATTTAAAGCAAAACAAAAGGGCAAAAACACAAAATGTCAAAACAATGCAGAAGGTCTTATATTTATATAATTTTAATTAAACCGTTCGATTTGGCTCAACTCTCCTGATTCAAACGAGTTCACCAATTTTTAACCAGTTCAGAGATTTGATTCTAGTTTTCAAGCACAAAAGGTATTTTATGAGAACCGGTCTAATTCAAACACTAGTTCAACGAGTCAACCGGTCAGACCGGACTGATTTTTAAAACACTACTTCTATGTGCTTCTGCAAGAGAGATGAGTGAGATATAACGGAGTTGGAGATTGAATTTCATTTCTAGGGCTTCAAATAGGATGTTATAGTAGAGGAACCCTAAGTCGTCTAGAACGGGTTTAAACGGGTTCAATGAAAATCACGTGGATCATATCGTTTTTGGGTGGATTGCGGTCTTCATAGATCCAAACTCTGACCCAAATCGGGTTATTTTATTCTTTTACTTTGTATTTTTGTATAATTAGATATTGATTTACTTGATATTTTGAAGAGAGAAATAATTTTCTATTTAATGAAACACTTGGGTAATTTGTTCTCGATTAAATAAAGAATGAGCCCTAACTTTCGATTTTTAACTCACAACTTTAAGTGTCAATATGGACATGATAGACCTAATAAGCGTGCAGTATCAAACCATTTGGCACAAGTGATTAAGCAAATCAAGTTACAATTGATAAGTATTTGATTAGAATTCAAATAAACACTCAACATAACTAAATCAATACCTTTATTCATATTATATTATGTATTTTGTAGAATTAAAATTTGTTCAGTTCAGTTAGGAAAGAATGGAAGTTTAAGTATGGATTTCTTGTTCGTGGGTTATGAGTGTCAATCTAAATACAACATGATTAATTAATAAATATATCAAGTTGGTGTTACACTATTTGACACAATTAGTTACGTAAATTTAATTAAAAATAAATACTGTATTGTCTTGAATCACCAGTGTTAATTATTCATGTTAGTCTGAATCTACTAACAAATTATGTGATTATACTAGAACTACAATGAGGTGAAATAGCACTGATATAACCAAACCATGGGGAGATAAAATAGCATTTACCCTAATCATATTTGAACCATAACACAAGTTAAATGCTATACAACCAAACCAAACCAAACCAAACTGCAAATACGTAAAATAGAATTCAAAGTAAAAGCTTTCTAATCAAGAAGGCATGATGGGCTTTGAAAGCATTCAAGGTTAGACATATCTCACATGCCTTGGAAGTTATCCTTTTTGGCATCACCATGTAGCTACAAACTTTATTGGTATCTGCCTTCTGTTCTACTCTCCCAATACTTTGCAACTAACAACCTAAATTGCCATTTCTACCAATATGATATCTTCATGTTACAATAACCCCCCTCCCCCCCTTTCTTCCTTCCTCAAAATTCAGGCAGACCTGTCTGATGTTAGAAAAAGGAATATAATACACCCACTAAAAATCACAATTCGCTCAAAGGCCGACATAGACCAGAATAAACGGCTCTCCGAAATAGAGGATGCACATTTTCTGTTAGCACCTCTGCATCCAATTTCTCAATGTGCAGCCATATCTGTCAAAAACAGAAAAAATACAGGAGGGTAAAAATTTGAATTAGTCAGGGACGACAAAAAGCACATATTCATTCGGCGTACAATCTCAATCTATTGTTACTCTGGCAAAAAAGGCCACTGATTTTGCAGCACAAAGGGGTTCAGACTTCCCAATTCATCATCATTTTCTTTGTGTTTTTTTGGAAGGTTCATCCTTTTCTTGTCACCAACTTTTGTCTTTTCATTTTTTTAATCAATAATTAAAGAAACAACTTAACATCTGTCACATCCTCTGTTCCTCACCAACTTCAAGAACCAAATTTCCTTAAAAACAGACAAGGTCAAGAAATAAATACAATGGTCAAATAAATCCAGGACTTCTAATTGTTGGAGCAACTAAATTTCATTTGCAGATTCTTGTTTGAAATGGGAAACCTATCAGATGATAGTTAAAGAAAAATTCATAACAACAAATTAGGAGTGGAGGGAAAGGATGTACCTCAGAAGCATATTGCCTTGAAAAGGCCTTGAGATAACCCAGAGTTGATAAACACCACTGCTCTTTCTCACCTATATTATAACCATTGGTGACCCTTCCCCCATTGGAATGACTTCAAATTCAGACAAAAGCCACCAAAAGAGAAAAGGAACAATTAACAAAAGAATCAAACAATTTGGTAACTGACATGGGCACTAAGAGATAACCAACCTTGTTGTGGGTCGTCCATTCTCTGGGTCCAACTCCATTGCAGATGAATTTTCAAGGTCAACAGCCATTTCGTCCACCTGACCGTATCGCCGCATGGTTCCATCTCTACATGCATCATGTAGGCGCTCCATCAACACATTTGAGAAGCTCTTATACAACGAGAGGAACAATGCCTGTACAAGCCACAGGTTATATACAAGACGGACGAGGTATCAGCCTTAGAAAAAAAGAACCTAATAATCAAACAGAGTGACATTATCAAGGAGAATCAAAAACCTCATTTTCAGCGATGGCTTGAGCAAGCAGGGCCTCTTTCGCCTCTAAAGATTCCTGAACAGAAACCTCCACTTCTTTTGCTTTTTCAGCATATGATTTCAAACGCTTCATTCTCACAGGGTTTTCACCAAGAACAGGCTCTCCATCCATAAGAGTAAGCTTGGACTCCGCAGCCTCCAACTCTGCTTTAGCTTTAGATGCAGTTTCTTCAGCAGATACAACGCTCCTCTTAAGGGATGAAATCTCTTTCCTCAGATCAGAAATGCGGTTGTATGTCTTACTGACAGCATTTCTAAGAATCTGTCAACAAAATAGGAAATTGATAATCATTAACTACTCAAAAGAATATAAGTTGTAACAAAGAGAATCTAGTAATAACACAAGAAAAAACAAATTTACAAACATTTCCTCAGTGCTGATCACAGATACCAGACGTCAGTTTTCTTCTTCACTAAACCAGGGTTAAGGAAACACAGGACTAAAAGAGGTGCAGTTAAGGAGGAGAATAGAAAGAATATATGTGGTATCCTCGAATCGAAAACATATCATATTAATAGACAAATATCATGATTTACAAAATGAAACATTATTGGCAAGCAATTAGTTGCATTCTTGATGCTGATCAACCACTGCAAATGATACATATCAATTAGTTTGCCACTCACCGTGGGAAAGAAAAGTATGAGACAATGAGTCAACTGCAAAAGTTAATATATAAGTATATTCCCCTGATCGCTCTGCCAAGAAGAAAGCTCAATATGCACACGCACGCGCGCGCACAGCAATTTTCAAAACTTAACATACAAAAGTTTAGAAGCCTTAGCTACAATGGAAAACTTGACAGTAACGGCTAAATAAATGATAATTGCGCAGCAATGTCATATTTTGGGATAAGCAGGAAGTTCAAAATGCAACTACAAAGCACAGAAATAACTTGCATATCATCCTCCCCATGAACTATTTGGAGTAAAAGCTAAAGCTGTCTGGTGTTCTGGGTGGGTTCGAATTTGATAGGAGAATAAAATGAAAGCCTTTTTCCCTCTCACTTTTTAACTTGCAAGACCTGTCTAAGTCTTTTGAGACATCACCCCTACCCCCAAAAAAGATAATTAATTTATTCATATGAACACATTTGTTGGGGTAGCTTCAGACATTATCATCGAAACAACAAGAGTGGGAGAAAGAAGTTTTAACAAGATATATAAACATAGAACGATATTAACAGTGCAATTAAAGAGCCAGAAGTTACAAGCCACTAGCTTCAACTAGAGTTTGGCACTGAGCACCACTTTAAAGCATTGTTTTCGAATTAAGCTCAACAAGAAACTCTTTTGTACTAAACAAATGCGTTCTGCAAGTGAGGGGCGGACAGACGTATGAACACAGTCTCCACTTCATCCCAGACATGCACATGGCATGGTGGAGACAGGGACTGAACTAACATTCCAAATACTAAGATGCCCAATCTCTGCATTTTCCCGTCTTAGTATTAATGTCAAAACTTTCTTTATCATGTTCAGATGCACTAGATCATAAGGGAAACAGAAAATGTACAAGTTGCCGTAAAATGAAGTCGAGGAAACAAAAGTCAAGTCTTTGATACCCTGTTCAAAAAAAAGGACTTTGATGCTAAATTTTGGAATTTGTAAGTTCTAACAAAATGGTGGCACAGGTTCTGGGGGAAAAAAACACAACAGTTGAGGCACAGACTTTTCAGCGAAATTGGGCAACAGATATATAATATTCTAATCTTCCTGCAGTCTGGCTCTCTTTATCTTCAAATAAATATGTTTCCTACAATCGGAAATATATAGAGGTATTCCCAGAATATGGCATATATAGTATCACATATGTATGAGAAAAGAAAGAAGAACATGCCAATATATGCATCTCTCATAAAGATACCAGTCTTATATCAAAAAGAACATGGTCAAGAATTCCAAGGAAAATTTTTCAGTATTAAGTAAAAGCTGTGGTGTTGTACCTCCCATGGACGATCAGAGGTATGAAATTGATCAACGTTTGCTGGAGAGAAGATCCATCTTACAATGGCCAAATTAGATATAAGTCGATAACCCATCATTCGATCAATCGCTATGGCCGTCATTTGAGCACTGTTCTTCCAGTAAGAACTTATTTCGTCCATCAACATGACTTGTTTGTCCTCATCAAGACAAATCTTTGCAATGACTTGACCATACCTCTCCAACACAGTGATCAAATGAGTAAAGCTTTTTGATCCAACATGGAGAAGGGTTTGAACAACTACTCTGAGGGCAATGTCAAGACCATGAACTGGGATTACTTTTTCTTCAACCCATGATATAATTTCACGTGCAGTTTGCCTTCCTTTCACCATGCCATTAAGTTCGACAGAAAGTGTATTTTCAGTTTGATCTCCACCATCTTCTGCATTGTATTTGAAGTTCGATACACCTTTTGGCGGAAGTAACTCTTCTAAAGCAGGGGCATTCTCAATGCTCTGTATGAAGAAAAAATAAAAGAAGTCACACAGGTGATAATTGTGTCAGCCACAAGCAGAATCCACACCATATCCTAAGAAACAAATTTAAGAAGCAGAAAATTTTTCCTACTTCCAATTACCCTTTGAATCAAGCATTATTTCCTGTGGAATACTAGGAGATGAAGCCACATCCTGAGAAATTTCATTCAGGGAGTATTTGACACCAATATTTGGACTTTGCATAGTTCACTGCGGCACAGAAATTAACAAATATCGAGGCGAAAGCTCAATAAAACTAATTCTCTGCTCTTATTGTCGAAAACGCAAATACCAATTAACAATGCATACAAGCTTACTCGAAATGCAACCATATGACACCACAGATCGTGAACACTAAAGTTATCAATAAAAGTGCCACTTCTATTGATTGAATTTAATATCCAGTCAGTATGATTTAGTATTGGATGCACAGCATATAATGACAATCAATCAGCAATTACTTTTCACTTGTGGAGTATTAAAGAATATTAAAAATGAACAAAAATAATGGCACTTGTTGACATCATAATTCCTAGAAATGCAATCAGCGGGAATTACTAAAAATTTCAGACATAAATTAGCACCTGCTTAATTTTGTCCCAGTATGACAAACGCACTTCTCTTTCCAGAACCTCTTGAACAAACAAACGTTGTGGGGCCCATTTTGGAAGGTCCAATACAAAAGCCCATTCCTCCCATGGCCAAATGAACTGAAAGTTTGCTCTGCAAAATTAACTCACTAATTCAATGAAACCAACAAAATCCACATAAAAAGTTAAAGCAACAAAAACTTAAAACTTGATGCAATTATCATCACACAGCCGTAGGGGAATGCCAAAAGCATTTTGGCAGAAATATGCCTAATTGGACAAAATGATACAGACCAAGAAATGGAAAAGTCATAACAAGAAGAGCAAATTAACAAATTAACATATACAGAACCACAGGGGTATAAAGTGGAATTCTCAAAAGATTGCAAGAGATCCCCAACATTCCAACATAAAAGGAGCAAAATCAGAAAACACTACAACTACATATTGTCCAAAGTACTTGAAAATTACATATTCTTCGTCTTTTTCTAAAAATGGTATCACATATATCTTTTATTCTTGATCGTCAACCTAAGAAGCACGGATACTCAACCTAGGTTCCCATGAGTGTATCTAATACGTAATGGATATGAATACAGTCTGCATCAGATATGGATACGCGCACCTGATACGCCCATGTACATATCACAAAATGATTAAAAAAAATTTGGATCCGGACACTCCTAGGATATGCCAAACATAAGCGGCACATACATAAAGGATACATCGTATATAACGGGGCTAAATATATGGTTTTTATTCTTAAAACAGGGGCACTGATGTGAATATAATTAGCATTTTCTTAAAACAGGAAAAATGCAACTGTGACCTGACAATGGTTGATCTATCAAGCATTGTACAGAACCAGCGCTTATTCAACATGTAATTATTTGAAATTTAAGGTCAAACATAACCAGGAAAGCCAAAGCAAGAGACAGACTTGAACATATTAGGTGGATTATTATTTAATCAATCTTTTAGATGAATTGTTTACTGAAATTCTTGAATTATGAGTCCTATTGTCAAAGTTTGTTTATTTTTTATGAATTTGTTTAATATGTCCTATACTCTATCTATTGCAATATAAAACAAGCCTGAATGCATGAGTACTCTCAACCATAAGCACTACCATCAGCCAACAGTAAGTGCGTTGCTTAAATTTTATCACCTTATTGAAAAAAAGGAATAAACTGTTTACTAAGACATTACAGAAAATGCATACCAAAATGGAGCTTTCAGGAAATTAACTTACAAATGGTGCGAGAACCAAAGGATTAGGCGCGTTCGGCATTCCATATCCAAATCAGCTATCTGATCAAAAAGAGCACGGACAGCCCCAGCTACAACTGCTGGAAAGGCCCCTGGAAGAGCCTATAAATGAGAACTTGTAGTCAGAAAACTTCTAAAAGTGCAAGTTTATTGACACTCCAAAACTGCAGTCCTTAAAGCTCAAAGAGACTTATCCAACGAGAATGAAACAGTTATACCACAGTTATAGTCATGTATAATAGATTCGATAATACCTTACAGAGGTCCATAATAACCAATGTGTAAAATATTGGCTTGAAAGGGGGTTGTGGCAACAAAAGAAGCTGCAAGAGAAACAAAAATAACCAATTATTGTTTCATCAAATCATTAATTGACACAAAAACATGTTCAAAGCCAACAAAAAATAACCACCAAGAGAGATGACACTCGACATACTATAGCTCTTGTGACACAACAAAACTCCCATAGTTTAAGCTCCAACGCATAATATACATATGCGAGGGTGAATGCAATAAACATTTTACAATCCGTTATTTGTACGAGAATGATGATAGTTGGATACCTCATTGCAGTCATTTATTATACAGAGGCTTGTAAGCTTATTCAATCATACCTTTCATAGTAAAAGCAATCCCTCAAAAACATCACTTTTTGGCCCATCTTACAGGAAAAGCCCTTCATGAATCTTTTCTAGCTTTACCCTACCAGTGGATTAAGCTTTTGACAAGTTCTAATTCAAACTTATAAACACCAACATCAGTGATGCCATAAAAGAATCAAAATGATACTGTGCGTGCTAGATCTTGCACAATATAAACACAAGAACAGATCTCTCCCTTGATGAACTCGAGTGAGTCAGTCGAGTGGTCAACTCTGCTGCTTGGAACAGCCTGTGAGGTCCGTTGGTAACCTAGAACAGTAATGAGAGACCCTCGTCGATCAACGGAACGATCCAGTAAAGCTGAGGAAGGTTCCTGGAACAAAGAAAGACAAGTTAGAAGGGCACCGAAGTGTTTTCCGGCGTATCCCCTCCGACGATCAAGTCAATTTTTTGAGAGAGAGGAAAAAGAAAACACTGAGTATAATTTGTAGCAAAGGTTTTTCGTTGCAAACCGTCTTGCCTTTTGCGAGGAGTATTTATACCTAAAAAACTCATGATTGCTGTCAGTGTGATCAGTAGGTGATCATTAGGTACAGGCAACGTGTGCACGGCTTCCTATGAGGAATGTCTTCTCTTTTAACTGCTCGGGATCCCGAGCAACCAAGGTTGTGTCATCGGCCTGCCGACTGTTTAATGAACTCCTCTCGGGAGGATGTAATAAATGTCCAGCCTTAGAGACATTTATTACCTTTCATTTCCGAGCTTTACCGCATTAAATGCTGTCTCATCAAGGGAATGGTGTAATTAAATGCTTGTTTTCCCAAGTCGTGTGTCAGCAAGGGCATCCGGTCTTTCTGTTTGTGATGTGACACAGAAATGCCACGCGTTCATTCCCCATTGGCTGTGTCCCCTGCCTTCTGACACCAATTGTGTAAGACGAGGTCATGATGACTAACCTAGCCTAGCCTAGGCTAGCGTCCTGTACATCAATAGCTCTGCAGGAGCAGAGAATGCCATCCTAGAACGGTACTCCTCGGAACCGAAAAAGAGGTACACATAGGGACCGATGTACCATATCCCCCCGACCGAGGGGGTACGTGTCGGTACGTAAACGTACTGGATGCCATTGATCCCTACGACCAGTACCTCGAGGGAGAGGGACTTGTGAATCGATGGGTACGTGTCGTGATCACAGTAACAAAAATTTAGTGACACCGAGGACACGTGCCTTCATCTTGGAGTATTTTGAAAATGTCCCATCAACTGCCCCCAGCCTTCGATCTTCTAACACCGAGGACACACGTCGTAAGGAGACGAAGGGTTTTGCAACAACCTCAACCGCTTCATCATTGCCTCTAGCCGCTTTCCCCTGCTTAGGACGTCATGTGCACTAAATGCGCCTTTTCGTGCTTCGCGCCCAATGATGGGATAGGTACTATATATAAATGGGTTCCTATCTTCTTTTCTTATTTCGTCATTCCGAACTTTCTCCAAAGAGCCCTTGCTGAAACTTCATCGGAGATCCCTTTCCTTCCCTTGTCAACTGCCCAACCATTTCACCGGAGTTTTAAAGCCAGCAAACCCATCCATGTTCTGAACATTCTGGAAGGAGTCAATTCAAGTTTTCCAGAAAAAACTTTTTTTACATTCTGGCGAGTCACACTATCTTCGCTCTCTTTGCCTTTCGGGTTCTCCGATAACGGGAGATTTTTTTTGGTTGCCATTCAGCGACCAATCCTCGGGAAACCTCCTTGGGGATCTTAGTGGAAAAAACCCCCTCCATTTTTTATCACTTTTTAGAGATGCCTCGTCGTCACCCTGTCCCCGAGAATCCTCAGGCCAGTCCTTTGAGGCCAGGAAAGTATAAAGTAAAAGGTGATGAGCAAATTAATAGATTTAGGTTTAAGTATAACATTCCCCCGAATGTAGACATAGAGGATTATAACCCGGCTGTGTACCCTCGGTACCGAGGATGCAATGCTTTTTTATACCAAAGCCATCATAGAAGGCGGAATTAGGTTCCCTTTGCCCCCTCTACTTCTCTAGTTCCTCTCTCATTTCCACCTCTTCCCTGGACAGTGTTGTCTTAATGTCTTCAGGATAATTATGGGGGTCCTAGAGCTCAGTAGGCGTCTCGGGATAAATGTTAGGCTGAACGATATCCTTTTTTGCTATTCTCCCTTGACAGTCATGCCTCAACAACACTTCTACCTCAAAGCCAAGGACCCATCTATGTACCTCGTAACTCACCTTCCCGACTCGGACAAGGAGTACAAGGATGACCTACTTATCTTCAAGGGATCTTGGCAGAGAGGTGTCAGTCCCAAGTATAACGGCTTGATATGTCCTTTGGAATGGAGAACGACAAATACGTCGGTTCCTTCGGGTCTATTATTTTGTTCTTGAGCTTTTCTACGTGTTCATGACTCACTCCCCTCTCTTTTTGTTTGTATACAGACATCTCCCCTCGGGAAACAGCTCCTCCACCTCGGTCGTTGGTGAACTTTGCGGACCTAGTCATTGTTTGGAGATTTACTGGTGACGACAGGCTCGGCCGAGCTGCCCACATCCTCCTGAATTACACTCCCGAATATAAAAAATTTTCACAGCTTTTCCAGCCTTTCGAGCCTTCGCGGTGGTCTGAACTCTTCGATCAGGCGGTGAGGCAAAAGGTCGAAGGGAACTTGGAGGAAGACCCTGCCCGGGCTACGGAGGCAGAAGTAGAGAGTGAAGCTGAAGAGCTCGGGGTCAGAGAGGACTTGGTTCCTTCGCACACCGAGGTGGGGACTTCGGGAAAAGATTCGTGGCCGGACTTCCAAATCCTACAATCTCTAGACGCCGAGGACGCCCTCGAGATAGCTATGTCCAGCACGCCCCGCATTGATCTAGGGTTCCTGAGACAGAGGCAAACCCTTGCTGTCGGGAGGGGACGAAGATCGACCGGTGGGGCCTCATCTGCAGGGACCAGCGCCACCCAATCCTCAAGAGTCGTCAGTCGGGGTCAAGTGTGTGACCGGGATCCTCAGGTAGAGGAGGAGAGAAGGGTCAAACATAGGCACGACGGCCTTGGCAGGGGATCCAGGGCCCCCTCCGCTCAGCAGCAAAGTGGGAGAGGCCATGGGTTACCTCTTGCTCCTCAGCAACAACAGACTCCTCCCCTTCCGCAAACAGTGGAAGCCGCAGAGTGGAATCCACGAGCCACTGATCACATGAACCGAGTGATCAGGGTCGACGACTCCATTTTACAGGACCCCCATGTCGCCAATGCAGTGAGTGAGATACTGCATTTCGAGGCCGAAATGGCGGCTCACAGGAGGCAATCAACGAACGTGTTGTTTCGCTCTATCATCCAAAATTCCCTGGTGGTAAGTTCTAGAAAAACCTCCTCCTCCCGACATAGTGTCTCCAACGAATTACGAGGGATCACCATGGCTTTTATGTGTGGACGGTTCGTCAAATAATAAGGGGTCCGGAATCGATATCTTGCTGATCTCTCCAAATGGGATGGTCAAGGAGCAGGCCGTTCGACTGGGATTCAAAGTATCCAATAACGAAGCTGAATACGAGGCCCTCATCTCAGGACTTCGGTTAGCTGAGGCAACTGGAGTTACGGACTTGATCGTGCATTGCAATTCCATGCTGGTAGTCAACCAAGTTAACGGAGAGTTTGAGACAAGGGACCCTAGGATGAAGGCTTACCATCACCAGGCGACAACTGTAATCCGAAGATTCGGAAGGATTGAGATCAAACAAGTGTCCCGAGACAAGAACACGCATGCCGACGCCCTGGCTTGCCTAGCCTCGACAGTGGAGTCCTCTCAGTCGCGCAGGATCACCATAGAATATCTTCCCATATCCTACATAGACCATGCCCCCGAGGCAATGGCCGTCCAAGACACACACAAGCCGCCCAGCTGAATTGATCCCTTTCTCAGGTTCCTAACAACAGGAGACCTCCCGGAATGTTCAAAGGAAGCAAGGAAGATAAAACTTAAAGCCCCAAGATTTGAACTTACCACCAGGGAATTCTGGACGATAGAGCGAAACAACACGTTCGTTGATCGCCCCCTGTGAGCCACCATGTCGACCTGAAAATGCAGCGTCTCACTCACTGCATTGGAGACATGGGAGTCCTGCAAAATGGAGTCGTCGACCCTGATCACTCGGTTCATGTGATCAGTGGCTCGAGGATTCCACTCCACGGCTTCCACTGTCTGCGGAAGGGGAAGAGTCTGTTGTTGCTGTTGCTGTTGTTGCTGAGGAGCAGGAGGTAACCCACGGCCTCTCCCACTTTGCTGCTGCGCGGAGGGGGCCCTGGATCCCCTGTCAAGGACGTCGTGTCTATGTTTGACCCTCCTCTCCTCCTCTACCTGAGGATCCCGGTCACGTACTTGACCCCGACTGACGACTCTTGAGGATTGGGTGGCGCTGGTCCCTGCAGATGAGGCCCCACCGGTCGATCTTCGTCCCCTCCCGACAGCAAGGGCTTGCCTCTGCCTCAGGAACCCTAGATCAATGCGGAGCGTGCTGGACATAGCTATTGTAGGATTTGGAAGTCCGGCCACGAATCTCTCCCCGAAGTCCCCACCTCGGCGTGCGAAGGAACTAAGTCCTCTCTGACCCCGAGCTCATCAGCTTCACCCTCTACTTCTGCCTCCGTAGCCCGGTCAGGGTCTTCCTCCAAGTTCCCCCCCTCGACCTCTTGCCTCACCGCCTGATCGAAGAGTTCAGACCACCGCGAAGGCTCAAAAGGCTGGAAAAGCTGTGAAAACTTTTTATATCCGAGAGTGTAATTCAGGAGGATGTGGGCAGCCCGGCCGAGCCAGTCGTCACCAGTAAATCTCCAAACAATGACTAGGTCCGCAAAGTTCACCAACGACCGAGGTGGAGGAGCTGTTTCCCGAGGGGAGATGTCTGTATACAAACAAAAAGAGAGGGGAGTGAGTCATGAACACGTAGAAAAGCACAAGAACAAAATAATAGACCTGAAGGAACCGACGTACTTGTCGTTCTCCATTCCAAAGGACATAACAAGCCGTTATACTCGGGACCGACACCTCTCTGCCAAGATCCCTTGAAGATAAGTAGGTCATCCTTGTACCCCTTGTCCGAGTCGGGAAGGTGAGTTACGAGGTACATAGATGGATCCCTGTCTTTGAGGTAGAAATGTTGTTGAGGTATAACTCTCAAGAGGAAATAGCAAAAAAAGATATCGTTCAGCCCAACATTTACCCCGAGACGCCTACTGAGCTCTAGGACCCCCATAATTATCCTGAAGACATTAAGGCAACACTGTCCAGGAAAGAGGTGGAAATGAGAGAGGAACTGGAGAAGTAGAGGGGGCAAAGGGAACCTAATTCCGCCTTCTATGATGGCTTTGGTATAAAAGGGCATTGCATCCTCGGTACCGAGGGTACACAGCCGAGTTATAATCCTCTATGTCTACATTCGGGAGAATGTTGTACTTAACCCTAAATCTATTAATTTGCTCACCACCTTTTACTTTATACTTCCCTGGCCTCAAAGGACTGGCCTGAGGATTCTCGGGGACAGGGCGACGACGAGGCATCTCTTAAAATTGATAAAAAATGGAAGGGGTCTTTTCCACTAAGATCCCCAAGGAGGCTTCCCGAGGATTGGTCGCTGAATGGCAACCAAAAAAAACCTCCCGTTATCGGAGAACCAGAAAGGCAAAGAGAGCGAAGATACTGGGACTCGCCAGAATGTAAAAAGAAGTTTTTTCTGGAAAACTTGAATTGACTCCTTCCAGAATGTTCAGAAGCATGGATGAGTCTGCTAGCTTTAAAACTCCGGTGAAATGGTTAGGCAGTTGACAACGGAAGGAAAGGGATCTCCGGCGAAGTTTCAGCAAGGGCTCTCTGGAGAAAGTTCAGAATGACGAAATAAGAAAAGATAGGGAGCCTATTTATATATAGTACCTATCCCATCATTGGGCACGAAGCACGAAAAGGCGCATTTAGTGCGCACGACATTCTAAGCAGGGGAAAACGGCTAGAGGCAATGATGAAGCGGTTGAGGTTGTTGCAGAACCCTTCGTCTCCTTACGACGCGTGTCCTCGATGTCAGAAGATCAAAGGCTGGGGGGCAGTTGATGGGACATTTCCAAAATACTCCAAGATGAGGACACGTGTCCTCGGTGTCACTATATTCTTGTTACTGTGATCACGACATGTACCCATCGATTCACAAGTCCCTCTCCCCCGAGGTACTGGTCGTAGGGATCAATGGCATCCAGTACGTTTACGTACCGATACGTACCCCCTCGGTCGGGGGATATGGTACATCGGTCCTTATGTGTACCTCTTTCTCGGTTCCGAAGAGTACCGTCCAGGATGGCATTCTCTGCTCCCGCAGAGCTATTGATGTACAGGACGCTAGCCTAGACTAGGCTAGGTTAGTCATCATGACCTCGTCTTACACAATTGGTGTCAGAAGGCAGGGGACACAGCCAATGGGGAATGGACGCATGGCATATTGTGTCACATCAGAGACAGAAAGACCGGATGCCCTTGCTGACACACGACTTGGGAAAGCAAGCATTTAATTACACCATTCCCTTGATGAGACAGCATTTAATGCGGTAAAGCTCGGAAATGAAAGGTAATAAATGTCTCTAAGGCTGGACATTTATTACATCCTCTCCGAGAGGAGCTCATTGAACAGTCGGCAGGCCGATGACACAACCTTGGTTGCTCGGGATCCCGAGCAGTTAAAAGAGAAGACATTCCTCATAGGAAGCCGTGCACACGATGCCTGTACCTAATAATCACCTACTGACCACACTGACAGCAATCATGAGTTTTTAAGGTATAAATACTCCTCGCAAAAGGCAAGACGGTTTGCAACGAAAAACCTTTCCTACAAATTATACTCAGTGTGTTCTTTTTCCTCTCTCAAAAAACTAACTTGATCGTCGGAGGGGATACGCCGAAAAACACTTCAGCGCCCTTCTAACATGTCTTTCTTTGTTCCAGGAACCTTCCTCAGCCTTACTGGATCGTTCCGTTGATCCACGAGGGTCTCCCATTACCGTTTCAGGTTACCACCGGACCTCACAGGTTGATCCAAGAAGCAGGGTTGACCACTCGACTAACTCATTCGAGTTCACCAAGGGAGAGATCTGTTCTCGTGTTTATATTGTGCAAGATCCAGCACGCACAGATACCAAACCCTACCCAGTTCTTTCAGAACTATATAAGCTACATGAAGGACCTACTTCCAACGAGTACCTCAAGATAATCTACACACAAATGTAAGTTCCTTGCATTTATGTGGGAATTAGACAAAAAGTATTGGGGGGCATGGCTCCTCCTTCTAAACATGAACTGTTGGGGCCTCCACTATAGCCACTTATTATTAATGGGAGCTTTGCAAACACCCTTTACTACGTCTACTAAAAGCAAAACCTTAAATAAGTAAAACCCAAACAACCAGGACAAATTGATGTTGGTTGAATTTACAGAAATATTTCAGGTAACTTCTTGTGTTCGCATTCTTGGGACTTTATGGTCCAGATGCTTCTTGAAGTGGAGCTATTGGTTGTTTAGAATAGTCAGAAGGAAGCCAATGCTTAAATTAGGCATATCGTCTGGAAAGCAAAAGTTTGAAATCATTATCAACTCAACCACTAATTCTTTGGCCAGTTCTCCGCAAAATAGTCATATATGTAAGGAGGTCTTTTCCTATCATGTGATGTCTTCAAGACGGGATTCAGAGTGACAGCAAGCAATAGTCAATTTTTCTGGTGAAAAAAAAGCTCTCCTATTGCAAGGTTTTTTGAGCTCTTAGATACCTCCTTTAAAAATTTGGTTATCCTGTATCAATTAGCTCTTGTTCTATGTATGTTTCTCTTCTCAATTTTATACATTCATCCTGCTTCTTTGGAGATAACCACCACCGACTTGCATTTCCTGTCCATTCTCTCCTCTTCAGTGAAATCAAAACAAAATAAGGTAAATATTGTTCTTCAGAAAGAACATCTCACGCTTGTTTGTGCCCTACTAACCATTGATGAAATGTTTTCTCAGTGAACAAAATCAAAACTCAACCTTTACGTAACTATCCAAAATAGACGTAAGGTTAAAGAAAATGGCTTCCTCAACATCCGATTCACTTATTGCGTCTCTAATAATGACACAGAGCACACTTGCAATAAATCATTTGTTTTCGTACCACAGAAATGTTAACTATACATTACAAAAAACAAAGTGAACTTTTGAAAAAATTAGCCTCTCATTCCAGCAGGAACAAAAAAGATAAATGTACTGAATTTTACCTGAGAGAATATTGTCTCTGCCATAAGATAGTCATATCGGAAAGGCACAGGTAGGCCAACCATGTAGGAAGTGCATTCCTTTCGACTAGCTTTGCATGAAGCAAGAAACACAAGAATAAGAAGATGGCATCTAAAAGCCTCAGGTTAAAAATCTAACGCAATTAAACAAACGATAAGAATGATTTGCCACACTTTCTGCATCATAGAAGAGAGTAAAGCACCAAGGTAGTAATATTAAGCTAGTATAGGTATATGGTCAAATATCTAAGGAGTCGATAATGTCTACAAACCAGCCATTCAAGAACAAAAGCACATCCAACAAATACTCTTCCACAACAAAGCGATCTATAGGTTGTAGATCCTGCCATCCAAACAAAAACAAAAGAGTACTTATATCAACAAATAAAGCACATCAAGGTATAAGTGCATTGATAAGCACAATAATGTCATCGTAAAATAATGCGACTCATACATAAGCTTACCCAGTCCAAAGACCTACACGATGAATGGTTTAAAGATCAGGATTCAAGTGGCAACATAAATAAAGATCGCCAAATCTTCATATATTTCAGCACATAAAGACTAAGTAAAAGAAAAACCCAGTCCATATTACTCTAGCTAATAAAACTAGAACAATAAAAGGGTCCCCAAACTCCCCATGTTTGGGAGTATAGAGGCAGAGAAAAAAGAAATGAAAAAAGATTACATTTGTTGATTTGGAAAGACAATAATGAAAATTACTTTTCATAAAAATTAGGGACAAAAGCAGCAATCAATAAAATTAATTTTATTTCCACTGCAAAACTTTCCATTAATCGAGAACGATAGAAAAATGGATCAAAGGCTCCCCAATCCTTCCATTTCTCTCCTTTTCTCCCGTCTTAAAAACTCACCCATTTCTTTATTTTCACTCATAAATCTTTTCATCCAAACGAAGTGTCAATTTTCTAATTTCTGTTCAAATGGCCGAACTGTCACATGCAACTTGCGTGATGACAGCTGAGAGTATGAGGTATTCTCTGGGAACATGGAAAATTTGACTAACAACCCTATGGTTTTGAAAACACACTTGACACTTTAATCCCTCTCCTGCTCTGCAAGTCACCCACCCAACCCCACACCCCCAAAAAAAACCCAAGCAAAATCACTAACGCAACCACCACAACCTCACCACTGCAACATCAACAAGAAACACCTACACTGATGGACACTTGCAGAAGCCCACAAGCACAAATGCACCACCACAGTAATATCATCGACATGGCAACCACACCACAAGTGCTTCATCAGAATTAAACCCAACCACAAACCCAGTTCTATATTAATTCTAATGATAACCAATTCAACCATCAATCGCCATTGATTCTGATCCATGGTATGTGTGTGTAACTACTACTCGCGGTGAGGTTTAGAGTAGGAGTGGTTCTTCATATAAGGTACAGTAGTGTGTGTATCCTTTAGGTCTTTGCAACATAAAAAGAAAAAGAAAGGAAGAGAAAGAAACTGCTACATCACAAAATACCTTGAGCATTTTGCCTTTACCAATTAAATGTCCTATAATCGATGGGACTTTTTTCAACATAAATTGAAAGCTTTAGGTCCAGATGAGAATATTTTATTTATTAGGCTTTAGTAAGGTATTGGCAGGTTAAGAAATCTTTGTCAATATATCATGGAAACCAATAGGTGCAATTAGACAGCACCTCAAAGCCAACAGAACATATTGTCACTTTATTTTCGGTAAATACCTGTTGTCAATATCAATAGGCATCGAGCATACAAAATCTCAAGAATAATGCCAATGATGCAGGAATTGTAAACTAGTCCAATGTATACTTAAACAGATTCAGAGTACATATCCAGAAAAAATATATATATATGATAACTCTAGTATATCCTTAAACAATGCTTTCAAGGAAAATTCTAAACTGAAGATATTGTGAAATGGTGCAAGATAAAATCAACACACATATTGATGCACAGTAAAGGCACCAAAGTTTCGTGTCCTTCAAAAGCTAGAATTTGAAGAGGTAACAATAAATAAATTACACATGGGTGTCATGAGTCCAATAACAGTCTTGAATGGGTAAGACAAGGAACAGACAGCATACTGATTGTTAGCAGTAGAAAAGGCAGTAAATGCATTGCTTAATGACAGAAGAATTTGCACACAGCAAAACATATGAAAATGAAATAGCATTCCATTAATCCACAATCACAACTGTCAACATCATAAACTAGTAAATTACCTCAGTTTTATTTGCAGGAAATATATTAAGCCTGTGTATCCTCTGAGGATATATCAACTCGGCATCATGCTTTTGTCTACCATAGGTGATCCCAGAAAGTGCTGCAGGCTGACCTGGTTGCTCAGGACAGCTGATGGGACCAAAATCATGAGACTTTCCAGCAACCAGCTGCGCCTCAAATGAAAGGTGGGGTCTGGGAACTAGAAAAGGAAAAATAGCATGTGAACCGAAGCAAGAGGAAAAAAATTAAGCAGAAAACAAAAGTTTGACGAATGAAAAAATATGCTTCTCAAAACTCGTAGTAAATTAAGGAAGAGACAAGTAATACATGTGCATATACAAATAATGCAACGTTAAAAATCTGTTTTGTAAGATAATTCGCATTATACTTATACCCAAAAGAAGAAAAGAGGATACGAACTGTGCAGATAACGCAAATACTCAGCTAAATCTAGCAACCACATTCATCACTAACCAATACAGACAAGTATTTCTTCTGTGTCCCCAAACCCACAACCCGTGGGACCCCAGTCTCTCCTTTTCCATTTTTCTTTGTATGTCTCCTTTTTGTGGTTTATACAATTTCAATAACACCAAATTTAAGAAACAACATAAGATAAAAGTGCAGTATGGGCTTCAAAAATACGACCATGAAGGAGAGGGAAAAAAGAGAAAAGGATCACCTCCCCACCACCAACTTGCCTTTTCAAGACCTCGCTGATTTTCATATCATCCCCAATTTTTTAAATTAACAAAACTGTGAAATTGATCAATGGAAGTAGGTCAATAAAATATCATCCTTGCATGTGATAATTAACTGGACGTGTATTAAGTCATACACAAGCCCTTAAAATGCCCTAAATAGAAGTGTCGGAAATCTCAACCATCACTTCAACGATTTCATTCATCAAGTTCTTCCTCACAAACCAAAAATGCATGATTAAAATGATGTCAGATAAATTAGTACTTCACTGATCATCCATGGCAATTAACTTTC